CACCCCAGGGGCTCCGCGCTTCACACAGCAGCTCACAAAGGATGCTTGGGGCGCCCCAGTCCTGGTAGTCTTGGCAAAGGGGTGGGGGTGGGGGGGCTCTGTGGCCAGAGGGCCAGGGTTCAAATCACCACTCTGTCCTTTCCCAGCTGTGTGCGGACATGTGACTTAACCTCCCCGGGCCTCTCAGCTGGAAAAGGAGCTTAATAAACGCTCCCACCTCGGATAAAGGCTCCCTCCACATTTACTGAGCACCTGCTACGTGCTAGGCCCTGTTCCAGCAGCCTGAGCAAGGTAGACAGAGCTCCCTGTTGTGCGTGCAACAGTTGTTGTGTAAGTCAGTGGCCACGGGGCTGGGGGAGGGGGGGAGCTTCAGAATACTGATGGAAGGGGCTTCCACGATCACTTCATTTTTCCACCGACTTGTTGAAATGCCCTGGTCTGTGGCCGACAAGGTGCGAGTGCTGTGGAGAAAAGCCGGACGGAGAGGTGGTCCTGGTTTTGAGTCAGATGGTCAGCGACCAGGGACATCTGGGGAGGGGACAGGCGGGAGGCCCTCGGTAAAGGTCAGCCGTGGCTGTTGTTGCCATTCTCCAGTCCTGAGCACTTGGCCTCCGCACGTATTTGTCAATGAGTGGCCTCCCCTTGGCCCCTGAGCAGCTTGTCCTGACCGCCCCTGCCGCAGGGCTGGGTGAAGGCTGTGGACACACGCATTCACTGGAATCCCTCCCTCTGGACATTAGAGGGGGTGGCTGTGAAAGCAGATGGCTGGGAGGTTTGGGTGGAAATGGGAGCTAAATGCCAATGAGTACAAGAACAAAGAAGATGTTCTAAAGCTGATGGCGGCAATGACTGCACTGATCTTCTTGATGTGGCCCAGCGATTGAATTGTGCGAGAGGTGAGTGAGTCACATGCCAATCACACTGTTTTTAACAAAGCAGATTCCTGGGCCCGGGCCCGGGGCCTATGCCCTCAGACCACCTGGGGGTCAGCAAACGTTTGAGATAGAAGAGCCAATCCTGTCCCTCGTAGCAAGTCAAAAATTATTCCAGAACCAAAACTATATTTTTACAAACAAATGAAATCACCCCTACCTGAATAATGTGTGTGTGTATATGTATATGTATATATGTATATGTATATATATAATATATATATGTATTCTACATGAAGCTATGATAGTCTTATTTTCATTTTCAATTTTACTCCTGAGCCACAAGTACACACCAAAAGAGCCTCCTAGGTGTGCGGGCCCCAGTTTGCTGACCCCCCGACTGGCAAAGGGCTGTCCCTAGAGACTCAGTGAGACTCTCCTGGGTGACAGGCATGTGTCACCCCCAGCCTTGTGCTCAGCAGTGGGAGTGCAGGGCGCTTGGGGGAAGAATCAATGAATGAATGAGCAGACAGACACAGTGACCCCTCTCTCCCCCTTTGCCGAGCCACATGACCTGTGCGTGTTGCCAGGCCCCAGTCAGGCCACGTGTGGCCCAGGGTGAGGCTGCCCCCACCTCCCATTATCTCCCCAGTCGGCCACTCACACATGACGCTGAGCTCCACGGTGCGGTTGTCCTGGCCATAGGCGTTCTCTGCCAGGCAGGCATAGACGCCGTCCACCCCCGGGGTCACCTGGTCCAGCTCCAGGAGCAGGCTCTCGGCCACCGCCTCACGGAGCACCGTCCCGTCCCGCATCCAGGTCAGCAGCGGGGGCGGGTTGCTGTCAGCCCCGCAGAGCAGGCTGACGTGGGTGCCTTCGATGGCTTCCACCGAGGAGTTCATCTCCACAATCACCGGGGGGTCTGAGGCCGGGGACACAGCGCGATCAATGGCTGGGCCGCAGACCCCGCCCCGGCGCGCCACCCCCCACCGCAACCGCGTGGGCGCCCCCCCTTCCCCCCTCCCCTCGGCTCACACTTGACGTCCAGGCTGGCATAGCTCTCGAACTGCAGGGTGGTGTTGGCGAAGGCCGCCTGGCAGCCCAGTCGGTGGCCGTTGGCCTCCCTGGTGGGCACGAAGTGCAGCAGCGACACCAGCACCCAGGTGCCCTCGTCCTCGCGCAGCCGCCCCAGCACAACCGGCTCCCCCAGCCCGTCGTGGCCCAGCCAGCTGAGCTCGGGGCGCAGCTCCGGGCAGTTGTCGGGCACCATGCAGCTGACCTCCAGCTCCGTACCTGCCACCACCTCCGGAGGGACCACGATGTTGGGGGTGCCTGCATGAGGGGCGGGGAGAAGGCAGGTGGAGGAGGAGGCAGCCCTGGGTTAGATTCTCCTCCCTCTCCCATCCCACCCCACCCGGCCCCTGTCCTGGTGTGGTGGGTTGCCAACGGGCTGCTGACTGCAAGGTCAACAGTTCAAAACCAGCAGCTTCTCTGCGGGAGAAAGAGGAGGCTTTCTTTTCCTTTAAAGATGTCCCGTCTCAGAAACTCACAGGGGCGGTGCTCTGCTGCCCTGCAGGCTCGCTGTGAGCTGGGCTGAGCTCCAGGGAGTCGGGCTGTGCTTTGTATTTTGCTGTGTTTCTGAGTCATCTCCTCCCAAGTCCCTGGATTCAGAATTTCTAACAATGTTTTCTTCTCCGCAGATGCCAGGGAGACAGGAGGATGGTGAGAACAGAAGCATTGGTTTGTGACTGAAAAGTGTTGAACTAGCCCTCCCAGCAATGCGACTGCGATGTTCAGTGTTGCCGTGAGGAAACGGAGACCAGAGCCAGTCCCACGCTCTGACGCTGTGTGATCCGAGTTTTCTTTAAGAAAACAGTTTTCCTTGACATGCTCCGTGTGCGCGTGCGCGTGTGCGTGCGTGCGTGCGTGCGTGCGTGTGTGTGTGTGTGTGTGTGTGTGATGCCCTGGAGCCGTGGCTGGCTGCCTGGCTGTGCCTGGGAGACTCTTTCTGCACCAGCACCAGCATCTGGTCCTTCAGAGAGACGTTGTGCTGAATCTCGGGGCTCCAGGAGGCCAGGCCTCTCTGGAGTCAGCGGTGCAATCGTCGGGGAAAAGGCATCGGCCTTCAGGGCCCATCTTTCAGAATTAAGTCGTGCCTCAGGGCGATGTGACGGGTGAGGCCCTCAGCAACGACCCACCCAGAGACGCTTCGCAAGGCAGGTCCGGGCGACATCTGTCCCAAACCCTGTGTCGCACATTCTCCTCTGCACACACGGGGTCACCAAGAATTGAAATCGACTGGACAGCAAGGAACCACGACATTGAAGGACTGGGAGATCGCATGCACACACACGTGCATAGACACACAGACGGGCATGTTTCCACGTACGTGCAGTGTATACACACACACAGCATGCATGCATATGTTGTTAGGTGCACAGAGCTGGCACCCCCTGCACAACGGAACAAAGCATGGCCTGACCCTGCGCCACGCTCACCTTGTCCTTAGGTGTGAGCCATGGCTGCGGTCACTGGGCCACTCGTGTTGCGGCCTTTCCACCTTTCCTGCTGTCCCTCTGCATGCACACACACACTATATACACACTATATATATCTATAGTGTGTGTGTGTGTGTGTATATATATAGAGAGAGTGTGTGTATCCTCTGTGCACACACACATATATGCATTGTGTGTATACACACACATACAATGTATATAACATATAATGTGTATATAAACATACAATGCACATATAAACACACAATGTTAATAGATGTGCACAGTATATATACATGCAATGTATATGTGTGTGTGTGCACAGAGCACACACACGCAATGAATATGCAAACATGTATATGTAGACAGAAAAATGCATACGGATGCAATATATATGCATGAAATGTATACATAATTCACCAAGTGTACATAAATACACACTGTATATACACACAATGTATACATACACAATGTCTATATGTGTGCACCATGTATATATACAGTATATATGTAAACATTTGTATATAGACACAAAAATGTGTATAAACACAATGTACATATATGTTCAAAATATATATATCGTACACAATGTGTACATATATACACTGTACATGTATACATACAATGTACACATAAAGACACACAATGTATATATATACACGCATGTGTATATGTGTGTACAGTGTATACACACAATGTAGATACAAATGTGTAGATAGACACAAAATGTACACAATATATGTGTGCACAATGCATATATGTACACTATGTATATAATATGTAACATGTACACATATTCAATATACATGCATACATACAACATGTACATAAATGCACACAATATAGCTATATAATATATAGATACACACTCACAATGTATATATACACAATATCGGTATATAGGTAAAATTTTGGTTTCTCTTGAAAACTCAGAACAAGACCCACTGGGCCAGCCTCCCCACCTAGAAGGCTGGCCCAAGCTGGGCATCCTGTGGCAGGCTCTGCTCTGACCACCTGACACCTCAAACCTGTGAGGTAAGTGCTGTGTTTACCCTCACTTTGTAGAAGAGGAGATCAAGCCCCAATTCTAACTGAGCAATTTGTCCTAGGTAACTCAACCAGGGGCAGGAGCTGGGGCCTAGCCCGCCTGGAGCCTGCTGCCTGTCTCCCAAGTGCTTCTGGAGGAGTTCCCTCGGGACCGGAAGCTATTCCTATCAGCCCTGCTTGGCTTATCTCTGCCATGGGCATTGTGGCTCTCACCTTCCCTATCCCTAAATGGCTGGACCCCTCTCTTTATCCAGACCCCCCCCCCCAAGAGACTTCTAGTGTCACCCCTGGCCCACCCAGCACAGCGCCTCAGCCCCACCCCTGCACGGCCCCGGGCCACTCACTGATGATGTCCAGGATGCTGTGCTCCGAGAAGGTGTACTGGTTGTAGCCCCCCAGGTCTCCCCGGAAGTAGTACTTGCCCCCCAGCTCGGGGCTGAGGTTGCTGAGCAGGAGTGTGCAGTTCCGCAGGCCCAGGTCCCCCAGGAGGCGGCTGCGACCCTGGAAGCTCTCGTGGACGACTTGGGTGCGGGACTTGAAGACCACCGGGGGGTAGTTCTTGGGGTAGGGGCTGTTGAAGTACCAGACGCCATGCACCACAGCGGGCCGCAGCTCATCAGGGAAGTCGAAGCGGCAGGGGATGGAGACGCAAGTCCCCTCGAAGGCGGAGATGGACGAGGGCATCCAGGCGCCCCAGTGGCCCCCTCGAGAGGCTGTGGGTGGCCAGGGGCTGCTGAAGTCGAGAGGCATCCGGTCCCGCCCAGAGCGTCACCTCCCCGCTCCTGCCAAGGGGGGGGCGGGCAGCATGCACAGGAACCACCCATCTCCCAGGGGCTCCCCAGCACCCCCACCCCAGCCGTTACCTGAAATCATAATCCAAAATAGGGGCAGCGCCGTGAGGAAGATCATGTCGTCCAGCACGTGAGCAATTGCTGGAGAGAGGAGCAGAGACCTTTAGTGGCCAGGGGAAGAGAGACAAGACACTCCTTCCGGCTGTGGCCAGAGGCCACTTGGAGGCCAGCTGCTCCCGCTATTATTTATAATGACACACAGGGGCACGGCATTGACCATGTTCCTGGCTCTGGCTACGACTATGAACCCGCTGAGTCTCTGTGAAAGCAGCACAAGGAGTGGCTCCCTGTTACAGCTGCAGAACAGAGACGTTAAGGAACCTGTCTGAGGCCACACAGCCGGCGAGGGGCAGAGCTAGGATTCCAGCCTGGGCTGCCTGGTTCCCCACTGGGAGCCTTACCCACCCAGCTAGAGGCCCTGGTGGCGTAGTGGGTTGCTAGGTGAGCTGCTAACCTGAAGGTCAACCGTTCAAAACCTGCAGCTTCTCCACGGGAGAAACATGAGGCTTCCCACTCCCGCAACAACGCACAGCCTCAGAGATCCACGGGGCCTTCTCCTCTGACCTCCAGGGTCTCCAGGAGTTGGGGTGGACGTCACGTATTGAGAATGACCTTCACACACACACCCTCATGCCCCCGGGGAGCTGCAGACAGGAGGGCCCAGGCTGGGGAGCAGGAAAGGGAGGAGGACGGTGGGGTGGGGGGAGCCTGCCCCTCACCTCAGTCTCCCTGAGTTGGACACGTCTTCCGCTCTGCCCTGCAGCCGTCAGCCAGCCAGCCTAGAACAGGTCAGACAGGTGCGAGGGGGTCGTGAGCTGGACGGGCCGCGTTGTCGTCTTCTCTCTATGGCCACCATTGGTTGTGGGACAGGCCAGGCGCCAGGCTACATCTGTCGCTTGTGACTGCCTGGGACCGTCCCACACCGAGTAGCAAGCAAGCCCATCTCCCTCCAGAGCGTGAAAGTGGGAGAAGTGAGCTGTCGGGAGGAGAACGGGGCATGGCAGAGCGGCGGGGAGGGGGCAGTGGTGGTGTGGTGTGGTGTGGTGCGGTGAGTGGGGTGAGGGTGCAGAGGTCCCACGGCTGAGCCCCGGGGGTGGCAGGCAGAGGCCCGGTCCCATCAATGACTGGGGTTCACAGCATCAGCATTCCCAACATGCCGTGTGAATTCCTGCCGCCCTCTCCCTCCCCACAGACGGCCCCTGGTGTCCCCACCCTTGCAGAGCCCAGGCCCCAGGACAAAAGAGCCCTGTTCCCTCAGGGTGAGACTGCCTCATCCCCAGGGACTTCTCGGGTAGGTGGAGGGTGAGGGAGGAGGCAGGCGCTCCTGGCTAGGCTCTGAGTGGGACTGACAAGGACTGGGGGGTGGGGGGTGTCAGTGAGCCATCTCAGGGTCAAAGTTGGCTTTCCACCCTCTGCCCATGTAACCCGACACATGCAGCCAGCCAGACACGAGCCAGCGCTGGTTGAAACGGGCCAGGTGCAGCCCAGGCAGTGAGTGCAGGCTCCCACAGGGAGGCTCCCTGGGACACTCAGAAGGGCCGGGCACCTGTGCGGACACGTTCACAGTCCCTCACAGGGGCGGTCTGATGGACCTTCCCCTTGTCCCTCACACCAGATAGATTCCAGCATGGTGTTCAGATGCACACACGTGCCCAAGAGCGTGTGCACACACTGATAGACACACGGACTCGCACACACGCACACACATGGACTTACACACAGGCTTGCACACACAGAGACCTGCGCACAGACAGACCTGTGCATGCACGCACGCACAGGGACTTGCACACACACACACACATACACACAACCTTGCAGATGCACATACCTGCACACACATTGACACACAGACCTACACATACACTTGGACTTGCACACACGTGGACTTGCACACATATGCAGCCACACACAGAACTACACACATCCACACACAGACCTAAATATTCACACAGACTTGTACACACACAGACCCACACATGCTCCTTCACGCTTACACAGTAGCTAGAAACAGACCCACCCACACAGGCTGGAACACGTGGCAGGTGCACACACCTGCAACAGCCAGGAGACAGGCCAAAGGCACACGTGATGCAAACATGCACCCACAACAGGGGCACACACAGGCTCTTAGGACAGGTGTTCAAGAGCCACGCTCCCTGAGATCTCGAGGGGGGGTTCTGAGGCTGGCAGTCTCTACAAAAGGAGCCCTGGTAGTAGAGGGGGGTCACCCACTGGGCTGCTGACCACAGAGTCCGCAGCTTGAAACCATCAGCTGCTCCGAGGGAGAAGGATGAGGCTTTCTATTTCCATAAAGAGTTAGAACAAACAAACAAAAACTCATTTCCATCGGAGCCAGTGCCTACTCAGAGCACGCCTGTAGGACAGGGTAGAACTGCTGCCTCTGTGGGTCTCCGAGACGGGAACTCTTTACCGGAGTAGAAAGCCTCGTCTTTCTCCCTCGGAACCATGGGTGCTTTTGAACTGCTGACCTTGCAGTTAGCAACCCAACTGGAAACTCCCTCAGAAACCCCGCGGGACCAGTGCCACCCTGTCCTACAGGTGCTCCCAGTCAGAATCGACCCAATGCCAGTGAGGTTGAAGGAAGTCTCTACAGGGGCAAACAGCCTCATCATTTTTCCCCGTGGAGCGGCTGGCAGGCTTGAACTGCTGACCTGGTGATTAGTAAGTAGCCCAATGCCTAGCCTGCAGTGGGGAGACAATAACAGCAACAGTTAGGAAAAACTGACCTTGCCTGAGATGCACACACACACACACACACATCTGCTGTGGGCTCAGTGGTTGGAACTTGCTCATTTACATCTCATTCCTCCCCCTCCCCCCCCATCCCCATCTCCTAGGTGACAGGATGCAGGTGTTTAATCACCTGGACAGACACTCTTCTGCTCCTTCATGGGTCCCAAGCCACACCCATCCCCACAGACTCCAGGCACTCAGACTGCTAAGGGAGTCTTTCATTGTTTCCCAAGTCCGTTCCCAGAGTCCGAAGTTACTCTCCTAAGCCAGGGGCAATTAATTCCCAGTGACCATCCGCCCTCGGCCTCTCTTACCTTGCACAGGCCTCTGGCGCCCCTGCCCGCTGCTCCGCCCACCCCCAGCGCTCTGGCTGCTCGCGCCGGTTCCCTCTGCTCCGTGGCCCAGCTCACAGTCCCCTGGCCTCCCAGGGTCTAGGCCCCCACTTGCCAGCCCTTCTCCTCCCCGCACCCTGGGTGCCAGGGGCCGCCTGCCTCCAGGGCCCAGCTCCTCCCTGCCCCTGGGGGAGGGGGCACAAAGGGCCCTTGTCACCATGGGGCTCAGACTAGGCAGCCTGACGCCCGGTTCTACTAGCTCCTTCCTGGACAGGACTGGGGAGGGAATGGTCACCTCACTGGGCCCCTGCCCCCTTCCTCCACGAACCGTGCTTTGGGGTCCCTGAGAGAGGGTCTCGTCTCGTCCCTCTGGAAATTTCAGGTTGAGAACAGAAGGCCTTGGCCTTAGCGTCTTGGGAATCTGCGTGGCCATGTTAGGTGTTAAGCCTGCTCCTGAGAAGCCAGCAGAGGCTAGTGTGGTCAAGAGGAGGGGACCAGATGGGCCTCACGGTCACCTCCACTCTTTCTAGAGTCGCTTCCCTGCGTGACCCTTGGTCCCCTCCTCCTGGTCACTTCCCTTCAGGATCCTTGTTGCCATCTGAAAGGACCTGATGTCTCCACACCGAGCGTGGCCTCTGTGCGGGCAGTGGGTTGGTCTGTTTTGTTCTCAGTGCATCCTGGCGTCTGGAATAGCTCTGGGCATGGGCAGAGGTCAGCTTCACCAGTGTACAGAGCGAACGCCCCGCTCTCGAGTTCTGTGGCACCTTCTGATGCCCAGTCTTCTCTCTGGAAAGGTGTCCCTACCCCAGCCCACTTCCCAGGCTGCCGCTGGACACAAGCAACTTTGCTGCTCAGCTCAGCGGCCCCGGTCCTGGAAGCCACTCCTCTGTCCCTCGCCACGCCAAGCCCCTCCAGACAGGCATGCTCTCCTTCCTGAGCTCGGCCCTCACCTCGCTCGCCCCTTGGCACGGTGTGCTGAACGCACGCTGCCAAGCTCCAGAGGGCCAGACCGACTGGTGGTCGTCGTCTGTCTTGGTCAACATCATGTCCCCTAAAAGAGCTGACGTTGGGGGCTAGGAGGACCCTCTGGGTACAAAGTCCACACTGGTCCTACTGTCACCTCAGCCTCTCCCATTGAGAGGTGGGTATGGAGAGAAGACTGGGGTGGGGGCTGTCGAGGGTGGTAGTGGTATAACCATGTCCAGTCACAGTGGGGCACCTCCTGTCCTTCCCATTCTCCAGGCCAGAGCAGTGGGGAGGGAGAGAGGGTCCTTTCTCCCCAAGGGGGAACCCAGGAGTGAGGGATGGGGAAATCCCTCAGCCTGGGGCATGGGGAGCGGGGGACTAGGAGGGGGGGGGGCGGGCTGCCCCCTCCCCAGGCTTCATGATGTCAGCCTCTGCCCGTGCCTTTCCCAGTCCGGGACAAAGGCTCATTGAGAGTGGGGTGGGGCTGGACCGCTTGGGTCCTGGGGAAGAGAGGGGCCTGGTGCCTGAGCTTTGGACGAGGACACCGGATCCTGGGTGCTCATCTCTAGATCACCATCTCAGAGTCTAAGCCAACCCCTGGGGGGTCACGTGCGTGTGCCATTGGGGACTCTTTCTTCTCTCTGGGTGTGGGTCAGCTCTGAGCCGGGGGACACGGGCACACGCACCCCCCAGAGATCAGCTGGAATCTGGACTTGCTAGTCTTGGGGCCACAGGGCAAAGCAGGCGGAGCGAGTGTGGCGGTGGGTGGAGGGGCTCTGGGAAACTGCAGATCCACTGCCGGTGTGGCCGGATCACCTGATGCGCCCAGAGAAGGTAGGAATCCTGATTTCCAGGACCAGGGTCTGATTAAAGCATCTGG